ACTTTGACCTTCTTATTGCCTTCAGATTCACAGTACTTATCCTACAGTGGACTTTCTCCTTCCTATTGTGCTTTTCTTTCCTCTCTTGACTCTGTGTCTATACCCAAGGGTGTCAATGAGACTCTCTCCAAACCTGAGTGGAAAATAGCTATGAAGGAAGAGATGGAAGCTTTAATTAAGAATCAGACATGGGAGATTGTGGACCTACCAGAGGGCAAGGAGACTGTTGGATGCAAATGGGTTTACATAGTAAAATATAAGGCAGATGGAAGTATAGAAAGGTACAAGGCCARACTTGTTGCAAAAGGGTATACACAGACCTATGGCATTGATTACTTAAAGACCTTTGCACCAATTGCAAAGATGACCTCTATTCGGATATTTCTTTCTCTTGTTGCCACATACTCTTGGCCCCTGTTTCAACTTGATGTGAAGAATGCTTTCCTAAATGGGGATCTACAAGAGGAAGTGTATATGGATCTTCCTGCTAGCTTCTACAATGATGCTAAAAAGGGAAAGGTATGCAGCCTTAAGAAGTCACTTTATGGCTTGAAACAATCTCCCAGAGCATGGTTTGACAGGTTCAAGAAAGCCTTGGTTGCTTTTGGCTACACTCAGACTCAATCCGATCATACCTTGTTTGTGAAGCGAAGGGGATCCTTGGTGTTAGTCCTAATTGTTTATGTGGATGATATTGTTGTCATAGGGAATGATCTAAGTGAGATTGATTGTTTGAAGAATAATCTACACAAAGAATTTGAAATTAAGGATCTTGGAGAACTTAGATACTTCTTAGGCATTGAAGTTGCAAGATCAAAACATGGAATTTTTATCTCTCAGAGGAAGTATGTCTTGGATCTTCTTCAAGAAACAGGGAAGCTTAAAACAAAGGCAATCAGTACTCCTATTGATCAAAATCACAGAATTAATGCATCAAAAGGTGAGCCAGTAAAAGACATTGGGAGATATCAGAGAGCTTGCAGGGCGGCTGCTATACTTGTGTATGACAAGACCAGACATTTCCTATGCAGTGTGTGGTAAGTCAATACATGCATGCTCCACAAGTCCAGCATTGGGAGATTGTTGACAGGATTCTTGCTTATCTGAAGGGACACCCGGGCAGAGGCATATTGCTTGTTGATCATGGACAGTTGAAACTAGAGGCTTATACAGATGCAGATTGGGCAGGATGCCTTGATGACAGGAGATCTACTTCAAGAGTATGCACCCTTGTTGGGGGTAACCTTGTTTGGTGGAAGAGTAAGAAACGGACAGTGGTGGCAAGATCAAGTGCTGAACCTGAATACAAGGCCATGGCACATGGAGTTTCAGAACTTCTCTAGATCCGTTCCCTATTGGGAGAGATTGGTGTACAGGCAGAAGAACCTATGATGTTGTATTGTGATAATCAGGCAGCAATTAACATTGCCCATAACCCAATTCAGCATGATTGGACTAAGCACATTGAAGTGGATAGACATTTCATCAGAGAAGGGGTGAATTCTGGGGAAGTTTTTCTCCCATACATTGCTTCTGATCTGCAGCTTGCTGATGTTCTCACAAAAGGTGTTGCAAGGAACAAGAGCATGATCTACGCAAGTTGGGAATGTGTGACATTTACTCCCAACTCGAGGGGGAGTGTTGAGTTGGGTCGATTTCTAGTTATTGGGCCCAGTTGTTTTGTTCTTATTTTAAGTTGTTAAGTTAGGAAGTTGTTGGGCTTTAGGCCCATTAGCTTATGTTTTTTAAGTTGTGACTATTCAGCTACTTTAGTAGCCGCCCTACTAAGGGCATTCTTGTAATCTTTCATTCTTTTAAGTTAAGTATAAAATATAATGAGGGGTTGGCGGCCAAAACTAATTCAATTCTGGTTAACATCCCACTCTTTCTTTCCTCTCTTTTCTTCTCTATTGTTGAAACTCTTCATCTTCTTCTTCTTTCTCTTCACAAGGAATTCATCCTGATTTACAAAAAGTGATTTCTATTGGTTTCTCTGCCTTTTGCCAAAGAATGCATAATAATAGTATAAGTCAAGGCATTTGGAGAGAAACCCTTGGACTGCATCTCATCAAGAACAGCATCAAACTTGTGGAAATCCTTTTCACCACAATAAAAACTAATATAAGAAAGCACACAAAGATGAAACCCACATTTTCTCTCTCTTCCATAATCAACTGGGCTTATCCAATTGCCTTGCTTTGCACCATTGATGTATCAAAATATTAAAAGTATGATAATTTGGATGTATGTCATTTTTGAACTCCAAAAATTCTACCCATGCATGCTCATCATTTCCCTCCCTGTATAATGTGGCCAAGAGCATGTCATAGCTGAAGTGTCCTTACTCATACCAAATTGTTCTATTTGATGGAAGGTTTCTCTTGCATCCGTCTATTTGCTAGCTACGGCATGCCTTCACATGATCCAACTTAGTGCTACCAACAAGATCAATCGTGAATCGTCCCAATTGAACCATTTCCTCAACCAATTCCAACTTAACATTAAACTGCTTTTATTTTCCAATAACATCAACCATTAGATCATAAGAGTTCATTGAATGTCTATCACCTATTTTCCTGTGGGCCCACTTAAAGAACCATAGGCTGAGTTCCAATCATTTTTTTGAGAAATGTTAACAATTTTATTGAAGAAAGGAGAGGTACACAAGAGTGTGTACAAATACAAAGGAGGGGCAAGACCCCTGAGAATTACACAGGAGGACAGGAATCACAGTATAGAGTCTCTAGAATAACTCCTAATTTTGCTAGACCATCTGCCATTGCATTTAGTTCCCTTCAGATCCAGGTTAGAGAAATATTCAAAGGAGCCAGGAGGTCCCTTGCCTCTGATAGGAAGTGACCAAGTCTCCAACGTCCAGTTTCCTGTTGTTCCAACCATCTTATAGTATTGGCTGAGTCACCTTCAATTGAGAAGCTTTGGATGCCCAGTTTGCTGACTAGGCGAATCCCTGTTAGAGCTGCTAACACTTCTTCCTTTGTTAAGTCAGCTATCCCAATCGGACCACTATAAACCCAGCATGTGTGGCCATTCTCATCTCTTAGAATTCCTCCATTGCCGGCAGCTCCAGGGTTACCATAAGCACTTCCATCAAAGCTGAGAGTCCAGATTCCTTCCCTTCTAACTAAAGGAGCTCTGGTAGAGAGAGGGGTAGGAGGGGAAGAAACCAGGAAGTTATATATGTTGCTGATGAGATCATTGATACTAACTACAGTAAACTCCTCTGAACTAGAGGCCCACAAGTTGCAGTAGTGGTAGATGTGGCTGATCAGTTCACCTTTAGATTTGGACCTATTTTCAAACAGCCGATTGTTTCTTTCCTCCCAAATTCCCCAAAGAACAGCGTGCTGTATTATCAACCAATAGGTCTTACCTCTCTTGCTCACCTATTCCTGCAGATGCTTAGGAGCCACCCAACTGAAGCCAACTAACTGAAGAAAGAAGTTCCAGATGCTGCTAGACACCTGGCAGTGTATGAAGAGGTGTTTTGTTGTCTCTCCTTCACATAAGCATAGTGTACAGGTGTGAGGGGAGATATAAAGTCTTCCAAGATTTTTCTTCTGCAGTAACTCACAGGTGTTCACTCGCTGCAGACAAGCCTCCCAAACAAAGAAATTCACTCTTGAGGGTATAACCTTGCACCAGATCTTCTTGTGAGGGAAATCACTGTCTCAAGTATCTGCAACCAGAGCTTCGAAGAAAGACTTGGACGAGAACTCACCTCCAGGGTGGGGTTTCCAGACTCGGGAATCTTGGGAATTTGGGGAGATGTAGGCTTCACTAAGATAAAGGAGTTCAGTTAGCTCACTGATCTCCAGATCCCTTAAGGGTCTTCTGAAGTTCAGGTTTAGGTTTCTTTCATTGCTGGATATGGGAAGGCACTGGGAGATGGTTGCACCCTTAATGTGGAGTTGCTCCACCACAAATCCATCCAGAATTTTATTCTATTACTGTTACCTACCTTGTATCTAATGAAAGAAAAAAAGAAGTTGTGAATAGCAGAAATACCTTTCCAGGGATTAGAGAGAGCTGATCGCCTGATCGGTTTGATTGGAGATTGCAGTCCCAACCATTTGCATTTAACCCATACTTACTGGTGATGATAGTTGCCCAGAGAGAATTTGATTCTGTGGGGAATCTCCACAGCCATTCTCAACCTTTTCAATAGTTTGTCAACCATGGTCATTTTTAAAATTGATATCAGTCTATTCTTTAGAATAGGTTGGTAGAACGGGGTTATTGCTTGGATAACAGCTACTGGCTACCAGAACCTATTCTTTAGAATCCTACTAATTTTATCAACTTCATGGTCAATCTCGCTTGACAAATGTCTTGTCTCTCTATTTTGGTCCTTCTGATTCCTAAACCAATTTGCAATTGTAGGAAGCATAAAATCATTTTCTGAGCCAGTGATGAGGCACTTCCCATCCTGTTGGAATTTAACCTAATCAGGAATCTCTGTGACTTAATGCTACGGAAACGCCTGAATAAGCTGTGATAAACTCCATTAACTGGGAGAATGACCATTGCCGATCCTAAAGGTTCTTTATGACGCAAGATTCCTAACAAAACTCACAACTTCTAAATTTTGTAAATGTAATCTATGAACTCGAGTTGTATTAGGTGAAAGAAGTGTATTCTAACGTAAGGAAGAAATAACAGTGAAAAAATCAATTTGGGTAAGTATGTGATCAGTTCATCCAAGCTTAAAGGTGGCATTTTTATAGTTTCTGCACTGATTTTATAGGAGACCATCATAACAAAAGGAGGTAAAGTTCATAAAAAAACTGGATGTTCAAATAAAAGTCATAGTTCCAAAGTGGGTACATCTGCAATCTGTAAAGAATTTGACTGAAACTGAAATGGAGAACGATATTTAAATTGAAAAAAAAAAAAGAAGTTCAACCAATCAAAACTATATATATATACATAGAGAGAGAAAGAGAGAGAGAGAGAGAGAGCGAAAAGAAAAAAAACGGTACCTCTGCTTTGTTGTTCTGGGGAGAGAAGGAAAAGATAGCGCAGCAACACTTCTCCTAACAGGACTGCTGTGGATAAAGTGAGAAAGTCAAGGTCGAGCCTAACCCTTAAATTCGTTCGGCTTTTTCTTTCTCAGAGATGGCCGATGAAAGCTGCGGTTAATTCTTAAATTGTTCCGCCACTCCCAACGGTAGTTTCTTACTCGCCCTAACCGGATAACCCGGATGATGACAGTCGAGTTAGGCAATGATAGTTTATACGACCCGGACCCTTGTGAAAGTGTGAAAGTGTGAAACTAAACCGAACGCATTAAAATGTGCAGCGCAGAGAGACAGAGAATTGCAGCCGAAACCCTGCCCACAGTGGGCCGGGCTTGGTGCCTATTGTACCCAGCACCCATAACCATAACCATAAGGGCAGACGGAAAATGGGGTATTCGATCCTCTGAATTCCTAGTTCATGCACTTAAGAGATGGCATGGGTTCTCAGCAAATAAAAACTTTGAAGATGAAAATTGTAAGCTGGATGGACGCCCTAGTATTAGACGCCAGGTTTAAGAATTTGTTAGAATCCACAAACCTGGTATTTGCTCTCTTCCAGAGACAAGAGTTAGCCCTAGTGCTAATAGTATTGTTGGAACCTTTTGTTTTGATCTCTAGTGGGCTATGGATCGATCCTATGGGATTCTAGCCAATTTACCGTCAACATTGTTCTATCTAATGAAAAACTATTTCATGCTTTTGTCACCTATTGGCTATTTAGCTACTAATCAATTTTGGTTGAACACCTTTGTTTATTGCTTTATGCCAATGTTTTAAAAGCGACCTCGGAACCGGAATCGTTCTGACCATTGGTTTTCAGATTGACAGCCAAAAACCGTTCTAACAAAATAAATTAAAAAATAATAATTTAAATTTAAAAAGCGGCCAAAATTGTTGAACGAGTCAACGATTCAACTGCCTGGGTCAATAGATTGTCGATCGATTCAACGGTTTTTGGCCATATATCAGGTTTGGAGTAAAATGGAACCAGTTGTCTGGACGGTTTCTGGGCCAAATGGTACGACCATCCAGATCAACGACGGTTCGAAAACCATGATTTATGCCCTCCTACAAGGTTTTTAAAACTGAACCAAACAACGAACCAGTCAGGGATCTGGTTCTCAGGCCGAACGGTCCAATCATTCAAACCAAATGGACAGCCTATTATAGAAAAAATTTAAATAAATAAATAAATAAAAAGCCAAAACCATTGGATGGTTCGAACAGTTTGACCACCCGAGTCAACAATTTGTTGATCAAATCAATGGTTTCTGGCGAAATAACGGTTTTAGGGTAAAATGAAACTTGACTAGTTCCTAGTTTTTTGGTCCAATCCGGTTTTGAAAACCATACCTTCCTAATAAACAAAAAGAAAAAATTATTGTATGAAATTGGATTAAGAAGGTTGTTGATAATATTAATAGAGCATTAGAGCATGGTGCCTCATGGGTGATTCCAATGCTCTACAAAATAGTTTAAATAAATGTGAGGGGAGAGATGTTCACTCTAACCAAACTAGAGATTTTAATGATGTTATATTTTAGTTGTAAATTGATCGATCTTGACTTTAAAAGTATTTAATTTACATGGAGGAACTCTTCTACTAGGGAGACAATTGATTGGTGTTTGGAAATGTGAAATTCCATAGAGGAATCTTGTCAAACTCCTATTTTTATCCTCTGACCATTCACCTCTCTTGCTCGAGACCAACCTTTCTAAATGCTCTACCCCAAACCACTCAGGTTTGAGGCCATGTGGTACCTTGACCCCAGCTTTTCGGGTCTGATTAGAAATGATTGGGAGTGTGATGTTAGTAGGTCTAAAGCAATGCAATTCATTAAAAAAGGAATATTCTAATCCATAAAATTAAAGACTATAATAAAAATCATTTTGGGAATATAAAAATTAGGAAATCTGATATCTCAATTGGAGAATGTTAAAAAAAGTTTGTTTGAGGATCCTGTTAATCCCTCCCTAATTAATCTACACAGTCTCAACAAAAGCAGTTAAATAATATATTGGCTCGTGAAAAAGTTTTTTGGGCCAAAAAATCTAGAATTGAGTGGCTTAATTTTGGTGACAAGAATAATCTATTCATCCATATTAGCACGCATCACAACCAGAAGCTGCAAAAAAAGAATTCTTGGTATCAAAAATTATAGCGGGGAGTGGATAGTTTTTGCTACTTTGTTGAGGACAGATTTAAATATGAAGGTACATGTGATGCTAAGGAGTTTGTTAATGACATCAACCCATCTCTAATGAGTTTAATCAAAACCTTGTTAGTGAGGTTTCTAATGCCAGAATTTATAATGCTCTCCAGGCACTTCTAGGCTTAAAAGCACCTAGTCCAGACAGCTTAAAGTGGAGTCCAGATTTTCTACTCACTCTTTATCTGCAGTGAATTGCAGTCATACATCTCTCAATTCATAATAGAGATGTGTGGCTCCAATTCATAGCGGGTAGAGAGTGGGTAGGAAATCCCGAGTGTTTAAAATGCCTTATTTAAAAAAATAATAATAATCTAGCCAATAATTGATGGTTCCATTTGTTTGGTTGTTAGGGCATTTTTCCTTTATTGGAAAATGAATAAAGCTCTTAATATAACATTTGTTTCTCTCATTCCCAAAAAGGGAACTCATAAACAGTAAATGATTTTAAATCCATTAGTCTATGCAATGTGATTTATAAAATTATTTTCAAAATTCTAGCTAACTATATCAAGCCTCTCCTTGATAATACCAATTCACTATTCTAGAGTGTCTTTATGGCAAATAGACAAATATCTAATAATATCTTAATTGCTCATGAAGTTTTCCACTCCATAAGGAGAAAAAAAAAAGGATAAAATGGAAATTATGGTTTGCAAAATTGGCATAGATATTTGAGTGGGGTTTTATCAAAAAAGTGCTTCTCAAATTTGATTTTCACCACAAGTAGGTTTCTTGTGTCATGGAATGTATTAGGTATGTTTCCTTTCATATCCTTATTAATGGCACCCCTACAAGAGATTCTACCCTTTAGGCCCCATTCGTTTACCCTTAAATAAGCTTAAGAAAGTTGGTCAACAGGTATCTTTTTACCATTGACCAACTTTACAATGTTCTTTTTACATTTACTGATGGGCCCTACAATAAAATAAGCTCCACTTCCCTAGTAAAACTTACCCATCTCCCAGGTGAATAAGTAACTTTCTCACATGGAGGGGAAATTTTATAAATAATAATGGGATAATTTTGCCCATTTTTATATTAACTTTTATGGGTAAAAATGGCATTCTGTTACTTACCTAGGAATCCTGAAAATCAAAAGAACATGGATAAGTACACTTACCTGGATAAATTATAAAAATGCAAAGGAATGAGGCCTTAGGGGATTAGACAAGGGGACCCCTTTGCCCGTACATTTTTGTTTTGTGCTAAAGCTTTATCATTAAAACTTGAGAGTGAATCAATCAGTATGGATAAATTAATTGGGTGTGAAATCTCTAGGAGTGACCCTTCCATTCCAATTTTACAAGTTGTTGATGATTGCCTTTATATTTGCGAGAAGTTATGCATGTATTAAAATTAAGGATATTTTGGGTAGATATGCCTTTGCTTCAAGTCAAAACCCAAATTTCTCTAAATCTGTCTTGAGTTTCTAAAAAAGATATCTCTTGAAAATTGCAGAGGATCATGTCAAAAATTCTTAAAATCCCTTGAGTGACAAACAAAAAATCCAAGCACTGGGGGTTCCCATTCTAGAGGGCAGCCTTGTTATTTATTTATTTATTTTGTGTGAATACCAACTTATTCTTTCTCTTAAACGTTGGGGATTTTCCAAGCTTGTGCATCCAAGTTGGTGAACATTCTTTTCTAATCTTTGTTTTTTTTTTCATTTCCTCATCTTCAATCGAATAGTGGACATGGCATCCAACCAACTTTCTCATTTTTTTCTATGAATACCAATTTGATGTTCTTTCTAAATTTGTCTTTTAAATGAATGAATAAATGTTTATTGGAGAAAAAAGACCACCAAACACCAATATAAAATAAGTGCTTATTTTTTTAAAATATGCACTTGAAAAAGTTGGTTGCCAAACACACTAAGTGTTTATTCAACTTGTTTTTCAAATAAGCACTCCCAAACTTGGCCTAAATTACCTAGTTAGAATTCTATCTGATTCAAAAGCTCATATGTTTGAATTTGACTCAACTCAAGCTCATAATGATGATGATGATTGAAAAAGTGGGGTGCCACACACACATAAGTGCTTATTCAAATAAGCACTCCCAAACTTGGCCTAGATTACCTAGTTAGAATTCTATTTGATTCAAAAGCTCATATGTTTGAGTTTGGCTCAATTTAAGCTCATAACAACAACAACAAGGATGATGATGAGAAGAAGAAGAAGAAAATTATTATTTATTACACAAATAATTAAAAATATTATATATAAGTTCAACTATTATTGCAAACAAAGCTTGAATGGTTCATGTAGAGGTGTAAAAGTGCGGGCTGTGCCACCCTCCCCGGTGAAAAATTTGGGAGTCAGCCCGGCATGGCCCACGGCCCGGGTCCATATGGGCCTGTGGGCCAAGCCTTGGGCCAGGTCGGACTGTGTATTAGGCCAAAGCTATTTATTTAAAAAATTAACAAAAAAACTTAAAATTTTAATTTTATATGATTTTTGTGTATAAAATTGCTTATATATACAATAATTAAATAAATTAGTATAATAAAATTAAAATATATATATATTAATATATTATTATATAATTATAATATATATAAAATATATATATATATATATATATGGGCCGTACTGGGCCGGGCTACGGGCTGGGCTGTGCCGCCCACCCTGATGTACACCTCTAGGTTCATGAGAAAATGACCAATAAACTAGTAGATTGGGAAAAAATTACTCTAAAGTTGACCCTCACCAATGCCTTGGGACTTTACCTCATTTCATCATGAGGTTTTTAAAATCCCAAGTAGTGTGATTGATGATTTGGACAGGACACAGAGAGATTTTATCTGGTCCAAATCTAGTGATAGGAAACCTATCCACACTGCTAAGTTGAAAAAAAAGTGTGCACTCCTAAATCAATGATGATGTTGGTCATGATGGTATAGAAAATTTGGACCTCATGGTAAAGGAGGTAATGAATGCTGATAGAAGAACCTGGAATGAAGGTCTCATCAAGTCTTTAGTTTCTACAGGGTCGTGGAGGAAAATCCAATCTATCCTCATCCCCTCTACGAATAAAGAGGATAATCTAGTCTGTAGGTTATCCTCTAATGGTGATGTTACAACCAGATCAGCTTATAAGTTGGAATGTTTGGCATTTCAAAATAAGGCTCCTCCTCAGAATGAAATGAAAAATATTTGGAAATTACTCTACCCTCCTAAATTAAATTTTTTTTCCTTTTCTTCTCCTTAACCATAAATTCCCCACAAAAAAAAAATCTTGTTAGAAGGGGCTACAACATTAATAGTGCTTGTGCAATTTGTGGTGAAGAGGGATCTTGATCATATTTTCAAAATTTTCCACTATGCTAAACAAGTTTGATGGTTAGTGGGGGAAAACATCGATGGCCCAATGGAGGGTGATATTTCGGTTAGAGAGGACCTTTAAATAAAAAATTTATAAAAACGGGTCCTTGGAGTTATGGTGCAAGGAAAAAATGTATAATTATTTTATGATACATTTGAAAAAATAAAAATGAAAATCTGTTCAACAATAAATCGATTGCTCCCTCATTCTAATTCTAATAGAGAAAGCTATAGACATTCCTAAGCATTAAAGCTTCTCATGAAGGTGACACCAGACATTGCCAGAAAATCATGGAAGACTATTTGTTGGGATAACCCACAAAAGGGGTTATCAAAATAAATTTTGATGCCTCTTGGAAATAAAAAATTATTGCATTAAAAAAACTACCGTTAATGTTGCTGAAGCATGGGCCAAATGGGAAATTCAAAATTGGTTATCGGTGCACAATGTCATGCTAAATTTAAGAAACGCATGACCCCCTGGAACCTTTCAACAATCATAGAAGAGTGTTGGGACTTGAAAGAGAAACAAATAGAGCTTTTGATTGATTGACTCACACAGTTTTTCAAAATATATCCCATAACAGCTTTAGATTGGTTGATTCACATTGTTTTTCAATATACACTTAAAGCATGCACATGCTTTGCATATGATAATTCTAGATGATGATAATGATAGGAATAATATATCCAAATTTTTTCTATAAAATCTATATATATATTTTTATTTTTTTATTTTTTTTCACTATTAATCATATGCATACTACAGAATTTGGATCTGATTACATAAGCACTTCATATTGGGCTACAAAGTTTTGGGTATCATTGGCAGACCTACCTATTTGGTTGGATTCTTCTTCTTGTAATGTTTTATCTTCTTAGTGTATACTCTTTTGTTTATTTATCAAAAAATGTAAGATTTAAAGATGAGGAATTGGATGAGGTGAAAATTGTAGTTCAGACAACATTTTAAACATCGCAATTAAATAGAGATCAAATTCAAAAATGGGTGTTTTAGGTGGCGTTTGATAAATATGAAATTTCAGATCTGAAAAGTTAAAAAGATATTTTTTGTCTGAAATCTGAAAAGAAGCATATGTGTTTTTCTACTTTTTAGAGGCTCTGAATCCATATGTTTGTTTGTGTTGGATCAACCATTTACCATATGAAACTTAATGATTTTACTATTTTACCCCTAGAACATACTATTTGAAAATGTTGAATTCAATTTGCATTATCTCATAAAAAATTATTATTAACCTCAAAATAATATTGAAACAATACAAATAAAAAATAAAAAATTAATAATTAATAATTGGTAATTAGTAATTAGTAATTAATAATTAATAAATGAAATGATCAAAATTAAAAAAATAATTAATGACTATAAAAATATTTAAATAATTAATAATTTACACAAATAAAAATTAAAATATTTTTTAAAACTTAATGAAATAATTAAAAATTACTAGTTAATAAAAATAATTAATAAATAATAAATAACACAAGTAAAATTAATAAAAAATGATTAATGTTTAATAAAAATATTAAAATAATTAATATTTAATAATTAGTAAAATAATTTATAATAATAATAATAATAATAAGTAGTAGTAGTAGTAGTAGTAGTACTCACCGAACTGTCGCTACTGCAAGGTGGTGGGAAGACAGGGAGAGAGAGAGAGCCGTTGTTGCAAGTTGCAGCGATATAGAGAGAGAGAGAGAGAACCACCGCTACTTGTTCAGGTCATAGAGAGGGTTCTTAAAGAGCTTGACGGCGGTGGAGCTTGTTCAGGTCACATAGAGGGTTTGAATGACCTAATTTTTGAGTTATATGAGGGACAAACCATGTCATTAAAATTTCTTTGAGGATACTAATGTCTTTTATACACCTCTGAATTACATCTGAGTGCATTAAGGATCTACCCCACTTCTTACGAATTAAGATTTGAAATTGGATTTTAGATCAATAATAAGAGGGCATACCAAACGAAGGTTGCCTATGAAAAACAATGTTTTCATATATCAGACATCTAAAAAGTGCAATCAAACGCCACCTTAGTCAAAAGAAAGTTCCAAATTTTTATTCATATTTTTAATAGTAGTCTAAATATAGAGTTATAGATGTGTTCAATTTTTTCTATAATTTTTTATTTCCATGTGTGTAAAAATAATGYTGTTATTTAAACTTATTTATTTATTTAATATGTTAAATATATGATAATATATGTGCCCATTTTTTTGTAAATTTATGTATTTTTTATTTTTGTTTGTTTTTTATATTTTATTAATTATTATTATTATTTAATTATGACATTCAATGTTGGATTTGACCCAAAAGTTGAACTATTGATCTCTACCAAATAGGAAAATAATTTCATTTTTTGTTAGTTTTAGATTATGTATTTCATTTTCATCACCAATAAGAATAATTCATGTTTATTAGAATTGCTTTTTATTTGATTAATAAAAAATATCATAAATGTGTTTATTTTTTTCTATATTTTTATAATTTTTTATATTTTTTTCTATTTAAAATCTAACTATGACTTCATTGGTTGGCCAATTTGATTTGGATAGTTGAATTGTTTAGTCATCACTTGGATAAAGAACGATTTTATTTTTGAATAAGTTTTAAAATATATGGGTTTATATGTTTATATTTTTAAAAGTATTAGACATAGATCTAATTAATAGCATTTTCTAGTGAAAAATTAACTTAAATATAAGATTTGATAAAAGAGAATGAGAGTTAATACTATAAATAAAAGAGTTAATGAAAAGGGATTAAACGGGGTGAAAAATATTAATTAATATTACATTTTTAACCTTCTTAACTAGAGATGGAATAAATAACAAATGAAGGCATTTTARTGGAGAAAAATTCCACATCCTCATTTGTATTTTTTATAATAGCATATATATATAACAATGTTTGGTGAACAATTAAGAAAGCCCAAATTTGCTGTCCTAAAGCCAGGAAAAAGGGGGCAAAGGGCTTTCTGTTGAAGCTTCTTCAGTGGCTTCTCTAAAGCAGCTCAACCCAAGCGTCAGCCTTCCTAGACGAATATTTTTGGTAGTCTCTTAGCCAAGTCCTACCTGGTTCATTTGTCTCACAATTCACATGTAACAGTACTCTGGTGGCAAGTCTCAGAAGTTCGAACAGCTCTCTGTTTGCAAGTTGCAACCGCTGGGTACGTGTATCTTTCTGTTTCTTCTCCGAGTTATCTTTAGGGTTTGCTCGTATCGTATTCGCTCTTTAGTCTTCACACATTTGCTACTTTCTAACGTCTCTTCTGAAACCCTAGTTTTTTAATCCATCTCTTCTCATAAAATCATCTAATTAATCCCTAGCGAAGAAAAGAAAGAAGAATTCCTCTGGTTAATTTCTCTGCAAAGCAAAACTCATAATTGCTTGTTTCAATTAGAACGGGTATACGAGGGAGTGGACCGAAGTTATTATCGTCCCGAAGAAAACCCAAGAACTGCTTTTCCATTTTCATTTGGATAATGGATTATTAACATATTAATCACTTCATGAGTAAAATTCTGGGACCATATAAAAACATGACTTTTCGGTTTTGATTACTCTTAACTAATTCTGCGTATTAAAAAGATTATTTTGGAATAAAAAAGGAAGAAGGTGGAGGGAGGGAGGAACCTCAGTATAATTTGTTATCAAAAAGGAAAAGGGTGGTTCTTGCTGTTAATCGTTTTTGGTTGACTTCCTTGTTCTTTCTTCATGTTCAGGTCATAAGTATTTATACTAGATTAGTGATACAATTTATTCTTTCCTCCATTCTCCTCTTTTGTTTTACAAAAATAAAAATAATTGATTGGTGTTTTTCTTTTTGTTCTGGATCTAGTAATAAATGCTTTTTTTTCTCAGCAACATTGCTTTGCTTATATGACACTGAGGTTGTTGAATCAGGGAATCATCACAGTGAACAACGAGAAAGTGGATATGATTTCCTTACCTTTTGGGTTCAATTCCAACAAATGGATGTTTTTTTTTCTCATTTATCATATGATTTTCATTAAGTTTTGTAGCTTGATCAGATGGTGATTCTCTATCCCTGTTCACTTTGTGCATTCTAATGGTATCTGTTGTATCTTTTTAAGTACAACTTTATAATTTTGAGTGCACCAGAATGAGTTTTTGCGTCGTGCCATATAAAATATGCATGAGATTTTATATTTGGATAACCCATTTATTATTTGTTCAGTCAGGATTTCTTATAACATGAAAAGGGCAATGCCATGGAGCGATAAAGTGGATGGATTATCATCCGAGGAATCTTCCTCCGACTCTGATTCAGAATCTGATGATGGGCTGGGTAAAACAAAACCAACCATTGTTCAACTGGCCAAAGAAACTGTATCTGAAGGTATTAACTTGTTGATTCCTCAAATTCTAGTTTGTAATAAGGGGCCATCACCTGATGTTGGCCCTAGCTATCTGAGTTCTTGAGATGGGTGGAGTCCATAAGCCCCCGAACAAGCCCCTGGAGGCAAGCCCAAAAAGGGGTCTTTCAGAGCATTGGCGAGCAAGTGAATCAACCAAGCCAGAGTGGAGTAGAACCCCCTTTTTTCTAATATTGTTTATTCATTCTTCTAGTATAAGACAATTTTTAAGAGATAAGGAACTATAAATGAAATTATAAAACCATTTTTTTATGTATGGGTTAAGAATTTAAGACCCTAACACGGACTTGTTTGAGCTTGCCTCAAGGGGCTTGGTTGGGGGCTTGGGTGCAAATGCCTGGGTTGTGAGGTGCAAAGTGCACCAGGATCAGGCACACACTTTTTTAAAGGGGCTGTGGTTGGGCCTGGGTGGGGTGTAGCCGTGTAGCTTTGAAACTGTGCCGTGCCTATTTGTCAAGCGCACCTTTTAAATCCCAGCCTAAAAAGTCCTTGCTTGTGCGTCAGACCCTTAATGCTATTGCTTTTGTAGAGAAGATTATGAGACAAGTACAAGACCATGAGAGATAATCTCTCTTAATTCTCCCATAGAAGTTCAAACAAAGCCAAAACAAATTATAAAACAATTAAAATTGAGCCGAAAACATAGAAATCCTATTCACCCCTTGCTTTGCTAAAACATCAAAAAAGGAATTAGCACTTATTTTGACCCAAAGCACCTGTACTTCAATGTCTTGTGTTAGCCACTTGAATTTTTTCCTTTCATTGTTGTAGTTCCAAAGTCCATTTCGCTCTTCCTTCAACCAGCCCACCACCAACTCGGAGTCTCCTATAATCAACTTTCTAATGTTCATATCCTTTGCCCCTTGTACCCTTCCATTATTGCTAACAACTAAGCCCATAGAGAATCACCTTCTCCAATTGGTCCTGAAAAGAATGCAATATTTTCCACCCTCATCCCTAAAAACACCTCCAATGCCTGAGGGCCCTAGATTTCCGACACAACTCCTATCAAAATTCATCTTTACAAAATATAAACCCACTATTTTGGTGGGTGGGTGGGGGGTGGGGTCCATAAAGGAATTATGGTATCCTTGACAGGGGTTGAGGAAGCAACTTCCTTCATTGGAATATCTTTAAATAATTCCAACTACTTGATCCAGTATACCACTTTATTGAGTACCACGCCCTTTACCTCTCTCATTGTCTAAAATAATCTTGAGTTTCTTTCTTCCCATATAGTCCAACTTATAGCAACCCTCACACATCTCCAAATTATCCTTCTCCTCTTCTTTGGCCAATTAAAGGTTGTAGAGCCAAACAGGCTTTGCACATACGACGAGGGGACCACCTACACTCAAACAAAGAAAGAAACCATTCCTAAATAACTTTAACAAAAGGGTAGGAGATTAATAAGTGATAGCAATTCTCACCATCAACTTTACGGAGAACACACTGGTGAGTGGATAAACAACTTGAGGTCTCTTTCTTTGAAGTAAATCACATGTATTGATTCTTTTCATAAAGACTTCCCAACAAAAACTCCCAACCTTGGGGGGATAGGCTTACTGCGTTCTCTAGACCTCTTTTATAGGGAAAGGCTACCCACTACTAGCAACTAGACCTGTTCATGGGCTGGGCCGGGTTCGGGCTGAGCTTTGCCTATGTATCAATAGAATACATTTAGGCCCGAGCTTGCCCGAGCCCGACCCGACCCGACCATCGGGCCTAGGTCTTGAACCCGAGCCCGGCTAGAAATTTGAAAACAATGTTTTTTCTTTTGTATTCAACAAAATAAGTGTTTTATTTATATTAAAAGCCCTCCAAACTCAAAAATAATAAAAGATCTCATTATTACTTGAAAAWAGAGGAGAAACAAAGAAAAAATATTGCATATATGTTTTTTATTAAATAAAATATGTTTTTTTATTATATAATATATATTATCAAGTCAGGCTCAGGCTTAGGCCGAGCTTTTTTGAGAAAGCCCGGGCCCAACCTGAAAAAAGGTAGGGCCTGATGTTTTAGGCTCGGGCCCAAGCTGCAAGCCTAAAATAATGTCCAAGCCCGACTTAGAATAGGCCAGGCCGTCAGGTTAACCAGCCCATGAATAGGTCTTCTAGCAACAAGTCGGGTTAAGGTTTTCAAGAAAGAGGCACAAGTAAACATACCAGAGGGTGAAGGGGTCCAAATTCGGTTGTTAGATTTGGAAGGGTCCAAGAAAGTCCTATCAAGTAACATTGGGATATTATTTAATCTGTGTCCCTGGTAGCCTTTCTTAGTCCCAAACCCCATCTGTGCCTAGTTTTTGATTCAAGAAAATCCCATCAAGAGTATCAAGTAACACTGGGATATTATTTAACTCTGTGTCCCTGATAGCTCTTCTTAGTCCCAAAGTCCATCTATTACCTAGTTTTGGAGCCAAGAAAGACCCATAAAGAATATCAAGTAACACTGGTATATTATCTAACTCTGTGTCCTTGATGGCCCTTCTTAGTCCCAAACCCCATCCATACCTAGTTTTGGAATCGGAAGGTACCAAAAAGGTAGAGATAATCTCATTTTTGTAGTTTGAGATGGCAAACAAAGAGGGAAAATGGTCTTTTAGAGGGRAGTCCCCAATCTAAACCTGTTCCCAGAATTTAATGCGATTACCAGAACACAAACTGCACCTGATCCAAGGCAAGAAGGAAGGTAGGATAGCTTAAACTACTTTCCAAGGGGAGGCTCTTGTAGCTTTAGCCACAATCTCAACATCCCATCCATTAACCGCAAGCCCATGAATGCTAGCAATTACCTTAGCCCACAATTTATCCTTATCAAGAGGTAGCCTCCACAACCACTTACCCAAAAAAACTACATTTCTCTTTCTGAATATTCACAATTTCTCTCTTGGCTCCCAAAGAAAGTCCTTCATCATTGCTTCCAATTTCCTAGCTACCCCTTGTGGGATTTGAGCGCCGACAACTAATATACAAGCAAGTTGGCTAGAGTGGATCTAACCAAAGTAGTTCCACCACCAAGTGATAGGTAGTTGAATTTTGAATTTTGAACTTCCTAAAGTTGTTTCTATGCAATTTCTACTTCTTAAAGTTTTTATTAAATAAAAATCTTAATATGATTAGTTTGCTCATCATAAAAAACTTTGCTAGATCAAAATGGCAGAGAGGAGAACAAGGTACATGATGGTCTACCTGGTTCATAAACACAATTTCAGATAGGAAGACAAACATGGATTCTGTGTAAGTGGGTTCGCGTTAGATATAGAAAAAAACCTTGTGCAAGTCCGGGAACCAAAGTTCTAACAAATGAAATTTTAATTAAACTGAAATGTTGATTACCATTACATTTCTTCCTACTTGCATGTGATCTCTGTTTCATGTCAGGCATCAAAATTATAGTCTCATACATCTTTTATTTTTCTTTTTGTAAAATAGGCAATGTATATTGTGTCAAGTATAGGAAACTGTAAGGGGATGTATAGAGCTGTACAAGAAACAAGATAGACTTCCTTTAAAACTAAAATGATAAGGGTAAGAATCTATTACTGTACACAAAGTTCTTTATAGCTCTGATGTAGCAAGGCCATCAATAATTGAATTAAAGTTTCTTGGAACCCATCTAATTGGAACTGATATGAGTGCTACTGTTTCTCTCTAATTTTGTTTTGGTGATGAMCCTGCCTCTATTATTCTGCTCCCATATTTCCAACCACATTGCAAAATACCTGCTATTACTAGAACTATTAAGTTATATTGTAACTAAAAACAAGCACCTATAGTTTCCTTGGCCATCTCACTATATTTATTACCACAAAACTCTCTTGACTGAATATGATAATTGCAATCTTTTTTTTTTGGTAGATAAAATTTCAAATTTTCATTAAATCAGAACAGACCAGATCATCAGAACAGGTTACATGAGAAGACCCTTGGAGAACAGATCATAATTGCAATCTTAACCAACTTATGTCTCCATCTTCTCATTCTCATCACACTTAGATAACAACTTCTCATCCAATTCCTATTTTCCTATGTCATTTACCTGGTTTCCCATATTGAGCTTTGAAGAACTTGTATCAGAGATTAGATTTCCCAGGGATCCCTAAAAGGTGTCTCTAGAGAGAAGTAGATGCATAGCTACTGATAAGTTATAACAGGAAAATTTGTAGAGGAACAGAGTTATATGTAAAAAGGACCTTGGCTGCTGTTCTCGAGATATTTTTGAAAAGCCACCTAAAAGTGCACTCCTGATTTCTGAATTTTTTGAGAAAAAGGTAAATTAATATATTAGACAAAAACATGAACAAAATCTGCACAACAAGGAGCTGTGCAGTGCCCAATCAAAAGCTGTACATCAACTAAAAAGATTACTCAGTGTGTGTAGGTACAAAAAGAGCTCCAGCATTACAAAAGGAGCTATAAGGACAATAAAAATCAAGATCTTATTTCTTATCCATTGAAACAATGATTGCAGGAAAGAAAAAGGACATTTCCCTTGGAGGATTTTTCTGAATAAAAAATATTTAAGTTGTCTTAACGTGTATCTATATTTAGACAAGTGTAGACATATCTTGCTTATTCTTTGCCTTTCTTTTTCTGTGATTGTTGAGCAGCTACTTCTTCACTTATCCTGTTCATAGAAATATTTAAACAATATAATTAATAAAAGAAGTGAACCCACACATTTGCATGCATGCATACATACATGAATTTCCTAGAATGAAACGGTTAGCTTATAGTACAGAGTATAAGGTAATAGAGTCAAAGGTGGTGGGATTGTTGGGATTCTGGTCATTGTTCTGTTGTGGTCAGACGTGTTGGTAGGCTTCATTGGAGGTGTAAAAATTGGTACATGAAACCGGGTTTCTGATATTTTAAAGCAGTTTCTCCAATAGTATATTTGTCAACAATATTTTATGGATTTCCTAGTTTAAGGCAATGGTTGTGACTGAGACGGGCTGGAGCTCTAAAAGTTGGAGCAACAGTGTAGACTAGGTTGAGTTCTTCTCAGATCTGATGATCTGGAGGTCTGAGAACGTGAATGGCTGAAAACTGAATAGGAGGTAGCTAGGACTCCCTTAGTATTGGTGGTAGAGGTGCTGCTGCACCCCTGATAATGATCGGATAGGAATCTTCTCGATTAAGGTTTCAAGACTGATACTCCCATTTGGACTTGATGACTGACTCCTGCTCTTGGGATCTGAGCTGGTATTTATAGTTGTTCTTAGGAGTTTCTGGACTCAAGGACCTTTTAGGCTTGTTTTTTTATTACTTTGTCTTTATTCAATAATCTTTTAGGAAGCCACGGCAAAGATGCTGTTATGAGATATTTGTCTGACAAGATGTGACATGTTGATTAGCTTTGCCACATCAGCTTTGTTTGGTATGGGAGGAATTGCATGCCGGGGTTGGTACATGGTCACACACCTTTCCCAAACTCAATCACATATCCTGGATGCAGTCAATTACTTACCATTGTTGGCGACTTTGTTTTACACAACTACAATGACTGAAGTGCCTATTTTACACCTCCATTGCATGTATGTGGTGTTATTGCATGTCCATGCTCTGACAATTGGATAGACTCCATTTAGAACATACTAAGCTGCCCACATTTTTTGTTTTGTTTATTCAAGTAGATTTTTCTGTTCTTTATTTAAATAGTAAGGTACATAGAACATGCTGTGTGACCATGTGATACAATTTCTATAATCTGATGAGCATAAGTGCATCAAGAATACATGAAACATATCTCAAATCCATTCCGACATGAATCCAATTGATCATTCCCTTCACCTTATGGCAGGGTTTAGGGAAATCTATCAAGCAATTATATGGTAGCCCTTATATTACCTCACTAATGTTCTAAAAAGTGGGAGGTCATGGAGGTTTGAGAGTTGTAAATTCATGATTGGAGGTACAGCCTCTTTGATTTGTTCCTTTGGGAGACTGAAGAGGTGAGGAAGGAGAGAAGAGAAGGGATAAAAATAGGATTATAAAAAAAATCAATGGCCATGTGAAATGGCCCTAAAAGTTTTCTCAACAGATAGTCTATTTGTGTTATCCATCTTATAAGGTATATATAAGTAGTTTTTGAGACTACAGGTTACATTTAAGTAGTTTTCTAAACATACAGGGCATATATAAGTAATTATCCCTTAAAATAATCCATATTTGTTTTTAATTTTAAAGTTTACATCTATATAAAAAAGCTCTAGAAGTTTATCTTTGTTACTTATTGATGTTTTATAGGAAAAATGGATTTATTAATGGATTTTATTATGCACACTAGCAGTTCTTTTATGGCAAAATAAATAAGGAGAGAAAGGAAAATGTTACATAGAAGTGTTCTTCAAAAATCCATGGAGTGTGAGAATCCATCACATGTCTGACACAGGCACATCCACTTATGAGAGTCCAAGTAACACTGCTGGCCATTATCCATCCTTTAAAGCTGAAGCCATTATCTGGTTCATGGAAGAAATGTATAGGCTTACTTTCATCATCATATTAGGTGACTCTGGCTTTTGAGTCCCATGCAATATGCCTTTGTTGATCCCATCTTACTTACCACAGATATGCAACACATTTTACAAAGTGTGTTTCTTAAGCAAACTGGGGCATTCTGTAACATTTTTAGATATTGTTGTAGATCCATGTACTGTTAATTCAAGAAGGAATGATGTTTTTTGTCATAACAATTACATCCTTTTGGTTGGTGTCTAGGAAATGAAAAAAAAAGCAAAGAATAAGAAATTGTATTTTTTTCTTCATTTTTATTGGTTATGTAATGCTCCGATGATTTAGGGTGATAACTGTGGTTAAGAAATGTTCAGCTCTTTGACAATGAATTGAGGAAGGAAAAGATGTTCTCTCAACCACTCTTGATTTCATAAAACTGCGTCTGGAAACAAAGGGGGTATTTGGTACAGTGGCGTTGCATTTTGGGTTGATCCATACAAATTTGTGAGAAATGTGTTGTCTCATTATACATGTCATTTCAACTAGAAAACTGCATGTTTGTGAGAAACATTAAATTTGAACGGTTTAGGTAGAAATAGCAATTTGTATTGATCAACTCAAAATGTTTTTAAAACATTTCAAGTAGAAAAATCCCTTTCTCAAATTTAAATTTGTATTGATCAACCCAAAACACAATGGCAACACAATACCACTGTACCAAACACCTCCAAAATTCTAGGGATTGGGGTAATACATGCCGCAAGTGTTAGATGGCTTGGATTCTGGGCAAAGGAAGTTTTGAGGTGGGGGATTGGAAATATGCAAGGATGCTAGTATATCTCACTTATTTATATTCTTAAAAATATAACCAGAAAAAGCTTATTGACCTTGTTTGTTCCTTGGAATCTTGGATACAGTGAAGCCTGGAAAATTGAAGGGTAATGGTGGCATAGACTTTGAAGCTTTGAGTCGGCATGGTTATAGGGGTGGACCTTCGCTCTTGAGCATGCCTCCACCAAAGGAGGTTGATGACAAGCCACTAGACTGGTCGTGGTCTAATGGCAAGGAGAATGTTAAAGACAGGGAAATTGAAGAATCATATGAAGAGCGGCAGAAAACCAGAGCTGCGCTAGCTGAGGGAGAGGAGCTAACAGGTGTGCAGACTCGGAAGGAGAAGAAGAATCTGTCTTTCTCACAGAAGGAGAAGAGAAAGAGAGATCTTGGTCAGGCCAGTAGAGGGAAAAATTATGTTGAAGAAGAGAAGAGGTTGTTAAGGGACAGTGGTATTTACTCTGGCTTTGATTCTTGATGTACATTAGTTAAAACTCTCTCTCAAAATATCGTACAAAATGTGTTAGGATTTCTATTCCTAAACCTTGCTGCTAAAAGGAGAATTCTGTGTCGCTTGTAGAATGGAAAGTTGAGAGTTTTGATCCAAAGGTTATGATATATGCATTGCAGCATTGGTTGGGTGTCTACTGCTTACAAGTCTTGAATGATTTATTTAAATTTTGAAGTACATAATTTACAACCCAAGTCATCTCCTCTTTCTTACCAATAATCCCCACAAGAACACAGTCCCTGATGGAAAAGGTGGAACCTATTATTATCTCGAACTATGATCTTTCGACTGTATACTTCTGAAACCAACTTTGCAAAAGAGTGGCAATCAGTACAAATACGGAGGTTCTTAACTACACGAATTGGCACCCCCTGGCTGGTGCTAATGAGCGCAAAGGCAATGGACAGTTTCTCGCTATGTCGACTGAGGAGATGTTCTTTCTCTTGCTCATCAACATCAAGCAAAACATTAGCTAGATCAGGCACATGGCCTTCATCCTTGAGTCTGCAACTTATTTCATGGAGCATTTTGACTATACCAGGCATTTGTGGGTGCGATTCATCACCAGAGGTAAACTCATGAATCATCCCTCCCACCTCAATGGAGCTGGACCCAGGTAGCTTCTGGACCCCCCTTTCCTTTAAACGCAGCCTTACTCTCGCCACATCATTCCATCTCCTGGCAGAGGCATATATGTTTGAAAGTAGCACATGGATCCCAGTTCTCTCAGGAGCCAATTCGATTACCTTCTCAGCTGCATAAGCTGCTAGCTCGACATTGTTGTGGATCCGGCAAGCTGATAGCAGTGCCCCCCAAACCACATCGTTAGGTTTCATTGGCATGCTCTTGATCAGATCATGCGCTTCTTCCAACAACCCAGCACGGCCAAGTAAATCTACCATGCATCCATAATGGACAACTTGTGGCAAAATGCCGTAACTGTTCTTCATAGACCTGAACAGGCACCGTCCTTGCTCCACTAACCCACTGTGACTGCATGCAGTCAGTACTGCCACAAATGCTACACCATCTGGCTTCAATCCTTGCCTGAGCATCTCATCAAAGATCTCTATTGCCCGTTCACCATTCCCCTCCATAGCCATTGCTCCGATAGCAGCAGTCCAGGCAGAAACATCTTTTTCCCTCATTTTTTCAAACACCTGCAATGAACTTTGGGAGTCTCCACACCTTGCATACATGTCAATAAGGGCAGTGCTAAGCCGCATATCACACCGAATTCTGTTCCTTTCTATATAAGCATGAACCCACTTCGCAAAACCGAGAGCTCCTAAGTAGCCGCAGGCAGAAGCCATACCCACCATTGTCACCCTGTCTGCCTCCACGGCCTCACTCTGCATCACCCGGAAAAGCTCAATTGCTTCCTCAAACCTACTCTGTTGTACCAACGCACTAATCATGGTGTTCCAAGACACCAGATCGCTCTCTRGCATCGCATTGAAAACTGACCACGCTGATTCCACATCACCATTCGTAATAAAACCTGCAATGACGGAGTTCCACGAGACAACAGTCTTGTTCGACATGTGATCAAAAACTCTGCATGCAGTCTCTGGCTTGCCACACTTCATGTACATATCGATGATGGCATTACTCACAGCATCCCATTCTTCCAACCCATTCCTTAAAACATAACCATGGCTCACCTTCCCTGAGCCAAGATCATTTAATTGCGCAGACGCCGAAACCGCAGTTAGCATTGTAACCTTATCTGGTCGTGGACCCAACCGCAGCATCTCATCCAAGATAGCAAGCGCTTCTCTAGCCATCCCCTGGTGCACGTAATTTGACATAATTGTGTTGTAGAGAACCACATTTCTGTCATCACATTCGTCGAACAGCTGCTTTGCAGTTTCTGTTGCTCCACATTTCATGTACATATCTACAAGAGCGTTCACCAAAATCGAATTAAGCCTGACGCCGGACTTGCCAATACAAGCGCAAACTGCCTCACCTAGACCGAGATCCCTCAGCTTTGCGCATGCAGAAACTACGCACACCATGGTAACTGAATTGGGTGTGACCCCGGCCTCTACCATGTCAAAGAACAAAGAAACGGCCTCTCTGGGATTGTYCCGCCGAGCATAACCGCAAATGAGACTTGTCCATGAGACAACATTTTTCTGGGACATTCCATCGAAAACTCGTCGTGCAGAATCAATCTCCCCACATTCAGAATAGAAGTGAATCAGAGAGTTCTGAATAAAGATATCATGCTCCAAACCCATTTTGATTAATGATGCATGGGCCTGAAATCCTTCCTGAAATGCCGCAACTTTTGTGCAAGCGCTCAGGAGGAAAGGGAAGGTGAAGTGATCAGGTGCCAGTCCTTGAGTCACCATTCGAAGATAAAGCGAGATGGCTTCATCGCCAATTGCAGCTGAAGAGTAACCTCTGATGAGACAGTTCCACATGAACAAGTAATTGGCGGCCGCCTCGTCTTTGACGAAGAGTTCGAAGGCTTTCCTCGCGTAATCCAAGCTTTGGGAAGTAGCCATTTCGGCGCAAGCTGCAATGAGATTGGATATGGATGAAGGGGATTGAACAAGGCCCATCTTTGTAACCTGGGCATGTAACTGCTTCAGTTCCCTCACGTTCCTGCAATTTCTTATAAGTGACCTAATTGCAGGGTAATCCTTTGCTATCGAAGTAGAATTGTTCTGGACGGTGAGGATGCCGTCCTCTGAGACGGAGAGCGGGGGAGACGGGCTAAGGACGACAGCCATGCGGCCAACAGCACTTCAAACTCAAAATCTGAAGCCGCATCACCTGGGTGTGTGGGAGTATGCTATGTATTATGTAGTGGCCAGTGGGTAAAATTATCAAGGGCAAATTTCTTAAACTATTTAATTCACTAACTCACTAACTCTAATTTACATCGTCATTAAGCACTAATAGAAAAGAACGAAATGTCTAATTTATCCTTCAAAATTTTTTAAATTTTCAAAATAAAACCTAATTCATGAAAATTTGAAGAGCTTTCTTGAATTTTCAGTCATCGTACATTTGTTGTATCTCATCCACCCCACCGATATCACCTTTCAACCCTTGTGGAAACCGGAAAAACAAACTACTTGACAAAATTACAGAAACAACAACGATGAATCTGGTTTTTCATGGACCCGTTAATCAATCAATCACCGCTTTTCCTCCATTCACTCCTCTACCCAACCTTTTCCCTAACTTCTGTCCTTTGTCCTTCCAATGAAATCAATAAATCCTCTCATCCCTTTGGACATCTCAAAAGCAAAAGTACTCCCGTCGATCTAGACCGGTGAAAGCAATGGAGGTGCAGCGGATGAGGTGGTTGCTGCTCCTTTGGGTAAGAGTGCGAAGTACCCATGTGGCCCTCGTGGGTGGAAACCACACTGCTGCCCAGTTTTGCATTCGCTAAATCCCCTTGTCTCTGTTTATCTGTGACTAGATAACCAAACTAGTTACCAATGGCTACCCAAGATCTCTACTTTTTCAAGACGTAGCCAACGAGGGTCCCCTAAATTTTTGGTGGAAAAACCCTCCTTGTAAGCATAACAATAGAATTTCTTGCGGATATAACTGCGACAAGCTACACTCGACCTAACCTTCAAAACCCAATTCAGAATTTGAGTCTTTGGTCTCTGCACTTTAGTTAATAGGTTTCACTTATTGGGTTGGGGGGGTGTTCTCTGTTGTGCAGGAGAATAGAGTGCGTGGGGCAGAAAATAATTGTTGGGGCCTCACAACAACCACAGTATAAAATCACAAGATATTTGAAATAGTAATTATGAGAAATCTAATAATAAAAATAAGCATCACAAAGAACATAGGTTTACGAGGTTCGGATTTACCGCTACATCCACTAGAGAGACAACTTGTTTTTCACTATGAAAGAAAACTATAATATAAATACTTTGTGGCTTGCATCCCAAACCAWTTCTTAATTCTTCTACACCCATTTTCCCTTTCCTCTCAATCCAAAGAACAAAAACAAGAGAAAAAAAACCCACTCACACATCAAGAATACTTTGTATTTTTCTCTCACACATTCTCTCCAAAAAAAAAAAAAAAAACCTAACTTTACATACAAAAGAAAGCTTTTATAAGTAAAACCTCTTTAACCTAAAGAGAGACCACACCAACCGTTAGATTAAAATTAATCCAACGGTTGTAAAATAAGACAATCCCAACAATTTCCACATTGACTTATTTTTCAATCACTTTAGAAATATACTATTTGTGTCTCCACCTGTTTGCAAATACGATAAACCTCCATTGGCCTTGTAAAATACCACCATCTATACATAACATGAATCACTCGAACCTGACTCCACCTAATTCAAACAAAACGGTCAATGTACTTGTGTAACTATATCCAATTTAACAATCCTAGTTAACTTTAGAAAGGGACATCGATCCTTCCTCTCTTCCAATAGGAATATTCTTCTCACCATCATTTATACCTTGGAAACTTGTAGCACTTGTCTCCACTCTATCCGCAAAAGAGACCCTTCGTGTGGCCACACTACATTGTGCATTTCATTTCCAACATCCCATCGAGGTCTTGGGAACCACTGTACTCCCAACCAAATGATACAAACCCTTGCATTTTTCTCCCTTCATCAGGATCATACCACAATGTGTGATTTTCATGACTTCACCTGCAACAAAAACCTTGCATCCGTTGAAGTCTAACTGGCTAAGTGATATTAGATTTCTACACATTTTTTGGGATATACGTTACACCWCCCAAAGTGTGAGCCACTCTATCAAATATTTTGATTTTCATTGTCCCAACACCTGTGATGTTATACGTAAATCCATCACCCAAGGAGACAACACCTGTCTTTCTTTATTGGAACGTGTCAAAATATTCCTTCCTAGAGAAAATATGCACAGAACATCTAGAATCTAAAATCCATTCATTTGGAGAAAAATTGCACATACCTTTGGAGACTGTGAGAATGTATCCATAATCATTAGATGCAATTGCCATGCCTCCGGATTCATTCCCACTTCTTTTTCGTGCAGAACAATCTCTCTTCATGTGACTAAATTTCTTGCATCTATAACATTGTATCTTGCCCTTTTCCTTAGCCTTGGATATAGACCTCCTGTCAGACGACCTTCCTTTTTGATCCATTCCCAGCGTGACTAACATAAAGTCTTGCCTGCTCTCATACTTGGGCTTCCTCCTAACCTCATTGGATAGAAGAGATGCAATAACTTCTCATAGTTTCACTGCATCTTTCCCGTACAACAATGTTGTCACCAGGTTTTCATACAAATCAAGAAGTTAGGTAAGAAACAAAAGGGCCTTGTCTTCTTCCTCCACATTGACATTAACTTTCCCCAGTTGATTTAAGATACCGTTGAACACATATGAGTGTTTCAAGAGATTCCCACCTTCTTCCATCTTTAGCTCGTACAATTGTTACTTCAGATATAGATTTGTAGTTAAGTTTTTTTTTCCCAAATAAAGCTTCTCTAGCTTATCCCACAATTCGGGTGTAGAATCTTCCTCCATAACGTTAAGCATAACGTTCTGAGCTAGGAACAATCGAATCGTACTAACACACCTTGACTCGATGTCCTCCCAATCAACATCTTTCATGTCTTCTGGTTTTTCATCCATCCCCTTCAACGTTCTAGCTAAGCCTTGCTGAACCAAGACATCCTTTACCCTTCTTTACTGATGTAACCGTTTCTGGTCACGTACCAATTTTTTGTGATGTATCAATTTTTGTTGGCTAAGTGCCTTGTCATTTGACCTTCTCCTACGAGAGGTGATCTTCTCTCCTTTGTAGGCAGTGGGAGCTGAGGGACCTGTGAGAACTCCATCTTTTC